AATTTAAAGATTTGAATACAGTATGTAAAAATTCAGTAGGAAACTGGGGCGCCTGGGGTGGCTCAGTCAGTTAAGTGTCTGCCTTCAGCTCGGGTCATGATCGAGTCCTGGGATCGAGTCTTGCGTCAGGCTCCCTGCTCAGTGGGGAGCCTGTTTCTCCCTCTGCCTGCTGTTCCCCCTGCTTGTGCTCTCTCCACCCCCCTCTGACAAATAAATAAATATTTTAAAAAATAAATAAAAAATAAAAATTCAGTAGGAAACTAAAAGATAAAGATGAAGAAATCTCTTAGAAATTAAGGGAAAAAGTGGAAAACAGAAATGAAAGGAAAATTAGGTGATCGTTCAAAAGGTTCTTTTTTTTTTTTTTTTAGAGAGAGAGAGGGCTGGGCAGAAGGAGAGGAGAAGAATCTCAAGCAGACTCCCTGTTGAGTGCAGAGCCTGATGTGGGGCTCAACTGCATGACCCTGAGATCATGACTTGAGCCAAAATCAAGAGTAGGATGCTTAACTGACTGAGCCACCCAGGTGCCCCAAGAGATTCAATTCTAAAATGATTTCTAGAATGAGAGAACACAGAAAATAGGAGAAAACAAATAATTCTAAAAATGTTAATGCTCAAGGACATGAGTTTCTAGACTGAAAGGACTCGGTTAATGCCTGGCATAATGTATGAAAATACACCTAAATCAAGGACTGTTGTAAAATTTCTTCCAGAAAAAAACAAACCAAACCAAACCAAAACAACAACAACAACAACAACAAACAGGCCAGGAATCTGAATGGCTTTGAGTTTCCCAAAAGCAATCTTTAGGGCTAAAGGTCAATGAAGAGTGCTCCTAAAATTCTGAAGGAAAATTATTTATGACCTAAAATTCTATACTTTGCCAAACTATCTACCACGTGTTTGTATAAACTGAAGATATTTTCAGATATGCAAGGTGTGACAAACATTTACTTATGTACCTTTTCAGCGAAGAAGGAGGAAGACATGGGATAGATGATACAAGCCATTCAAAACTCCAAAGTGCAGGCAACCCCCAGAATGGTGGTGAAAAAATATAAGAAGATAGCAGTGTCCAAACAGAGAGGGTGACCAGTTCAGACAGGAACAGGTAAGAAGGCTCCAGGAAAGATTTAGTGAAGGAAATGAATCAGAATAAGATCTGTTGTCTGAATGTGTTAAGAGAAAATTGAGTCCACTGGCAGAGAGTCAACAGATGAATTAGTGAGAAGTATACAGAAAACTAAGCTCATGTGTGTGCGGGGGGAGATGATCATTAATTCTAGGGAAAATTAAAAGTCATGCAGGAATGGGGCGCCTAGGTAGCTTAGGTGGTTAAGTGTCCGACTCTTGGTTTTAGCTCGGGTCATGGTCTCGGGGTCGTGAGATTGGGCCCCACATTGGGCTCCACACTGGGTGTGGAGCCTGCTTGGGATTCCCTCTTTCCGTCTGCACACTGCCCCTCATAGCCCCACTTGCATGTTCTCTCTCTCTCTCTAGAAGAAAAAAAATCATGCAGAAGGAACAATAATATATTACATAGCTAAATTGTGATTAGCACTTAGGTAGTCATAGTAATGTAAACAGTAAATACTGATCTACCCAAAATTTCAGTATAATTCTGTTAGGAGGATGGTGGAGATAGGGGGGCAATTAGGGGCATGAATGTATAATTGGGGCACAGGAATGAAAAGAAAGTAAATTCTCATTTTCCATTGTAGGAGGTGGACAGAAAAGGCCTAAAAGTGATAAGAAGTGGCGATATTATACTCCTATTATTTTGATTTATGGATTAATGTCCAAAATAATCAGCGAAGAATCAAAAATGGTGCTCTGAGGAGCAAGAAAAGGGAGTGGGGCAGTAGGGGACTCATGTCCTTCATAACATGAACAATAGTTCTTATAGAACTATTTCAGCCTTTAAACTATGTGCGGGTACTACTGTGATAAGGCTAGAAAGTTTTACTAAAAAATAAAAGTAAATACTTTTGCCCCTCACCTCAAAAAAACCTTTATGGACTACAGATTTGGGACTCTTGAACTAGTAAGGCTCTCAGGAGCATCAAGATTCTACGGTTCCTTTCTAGCACCATTTCCATTCCAACTGCTCCTTCTCTTTCGCACCATCTCAGTAGAGAAAGTAAGTTTCAGGAATGGAGTTTTCCAAACAGGGTTAATATGGCCTTAAGGAAGTATCCCTTATGGTGCCCAAAGCTATGGTATGAAAAAAGGAGGGATCCAGCTTTCTTAGACTAACACACATTACAGGTATGTAAATAGATAACCCCAATTCAAACATGTGACTTGGTTTTGTGCTTTGTGTTCAGAAGGAACAGAAAGCGTAATCAAAGAGAATCTGTCTAAATTAAGGATTGTTTCTGACACAGAGGCAGATGCTGCTCGAACCCCAAATTATGCCATATAAGGTCTAAGTTCCACAGCTTAGATTACTGCAGAAATTGAACGCACTGAGTCTGTGTTTGTATACACACTTCTCTCCACTGGCTACTGCATTATGATTTTTCTTCATCTAAACTTGCCGCTTAGCTGATCCAGATATGAAACCGAAGGAGTTCTGGATAGGATAGTACCACTGGGGTCTGAAGCGAGCCTTCTTCACACTCATGTGATGTTGGCTTCCCTTAGGAGAAGTCTTTAAAATGAACCAGAGGCTACGTCTGTTAGTAAAAAGTCATTCTGAAGCTTTATCACATGTGATGATAGCAGGGTTAGAGCCCAAATGACAGTGTCTATAAACCTTTTAACTTCCAAATCAGTGTAACTTATATTGCTGGAAACCATAACAGGAAGGGTTTTTGGGTTTTGTTTTTCTTTCATCTATTTCCAAGCCTATTTCTATATTAACAAAATGTAAAAACACCTCCCCTTCAGTCTCTGATTTGTGGGGGAAGGGAGCAGAAACAATAAACTTGGGAATTTAATGAGCAGAGCAATAAAGGCTTTTTATCAGGTTTGTGAGCTTGGCTGTGCACGAGAGTTGGGGATTATCAGAGTGAGTTCAGTGGGGTGTGTGCCAAGAGCAAGGGCTATGTGGTAGCTGGACCTGGCTTCCTGGCCCTACCTGGCCTGAGATGAACTCTCAGGGTTTGAGGGTGTAGCTCAATGGCCAAGGCTAGTCAGGGCTCAGCAGGCACATGTTAAGCCCATATAAAATCCTCAGGGCTACAGAGTCTTCTTGGCATAGTTTCAAGTTCATTCCCAACATACAGCAGAAGCTGCCAACAGCCCTAGAACCTCCTAGCCACGCAGGACATGGGGAAAGATTGTGAGAAACGGCTAGTGTGAGATCTGAATGTGTCCATATTCCCGTGGCAAAGTATTTATTCTAAAATGCTACTCCGCTAAAAGCTGTCCCTTCTGGTGCTTTGTATGAGCCGTTCACAAGAAAGACTATTCCTAACTCAATTCACAGTGGTTTGTATATCCTCAGAATCATTACATGTAAGGTTAAGAGTCGTATTTTCTCTCTCATATGAAATATACCTCCCTCAAACATCACTGACTAGGAACAAGAATCTGAGGACTCAAAGCCCCACTGTTACACTCTCCTCAACTTTTGCTTTGGACTGTGGGACTTCCCCAAGCTAGGCACAAAAGGATTCGTTCTGCCACAATCCAAAATGACTCAGTTGGAGGATGCAGTATTTGAAGTGAAAATTCTGGTAAGGATTAAGATATGACTTCTCAAAATGCCCTTCCGTACTTCTCCTCCCTTTAAAGCAGTCTTCTTTTCAGATTGTCTGGTTGAATGGCGCAAGGTAAGGCCAAAGATGAAGGCATTCATTGGTTCAGTGGAAAATTAATGAAATTCTAAACAGAAAGGCTGAACCTGCCACGGACTCTGATAAATCAAGCACAATTTACCTGGGTTCACAGTGTAAACTGCAAGGATCCAAGGACATAGAAGCCCAGCTAGCTCACTAGACATACCCCCAAATGCATATCTTTCTTGGCTATATCTATCTGCATGGAAACTAAGAAGGAAGTAAGCAGTCCATTTGTTTCTTCCCCACTGCACTAGAACCCCCTTGCCAGGCCTGCCCTCTGTACTGGGGTCAGAACAGGTTCTCTGCTCAGGCCAGAAGGTTTCAACCTTGGGATTGAGGGGAAGGGGCAAGAGAAGGGTGCGGGGGCACATAAGAATTTTGGGGGAAGAGGAACATAGTTTGAAAACAAAGTGCTTTGTTTCACCATTTTTGTTTGCAATTCATGAAAATATATTTTAAAAAAATTTAAATAACTTTATAGAAGAAAGACATGAGAATTTTATGCTTATCAAAGAGCACATAGCGGGACGCCTGGGTGGCTCAGTTGGTTAAGTGTCTGCCTTCAGCTCAGGCCATGATTCCAGGGTCCTGGGATTGAGCTCTGCATCAGGCTCCCTGCTCAGTGGGAAGCCTGCTTCTCCCTCTGCCTGCCACTCCCCCTGCTTGTGCTCTCTCTCTCTCTGACAAATAAATAAAATCTTAAAAAAAAAAGAGGACATGGCATGGGTTTTAAAAGGGTCAAGAAATTCTGGTTGAAGTCACTGAGATTGGGGACTCTGGTGGACAGTGCTCAGCCTCTTGGCAAATATGGTAATAAAATCTTAGCTTCCTTTTTCACTTCCTGCCCATTCATACGTCTGTACTGAAGTCTTGAGCGTTGAGGGAAGGGTTTATATTTCCATTTTGTCTACATCAATTTTCTTTAATTAAACCCTAACCACAGAATAGCTTTATTAGTAGCTAACCTTCACCAACATCTCAACTGCAATTAGCATAGTGTAAACATTCCTTTTCTAACGGTGCTTAAAGCAAATAATATTTTTGCAAAACCCAACTGATGCCAAATATGTCCATGTGCAAACTGTGGGAATGACCTTTCTCTCTCGTTCATTATTATTCCATCCACTCATCCGTGTCACGAAACACTGAAATGTCTGCTGTGTGGCAGACACATAGGACACACACCAACTAATATTCGATGGTCACACTCACCTGTGTGAGAATAGATGTACCACAGGGCCCCCGTCAGGAGCGCTCCGATCACAAACGCCGCAAACGCAATGCCCATCACGGTGAGGGTGTCCAGACCGTGGAAAACTGCTATAAGGAAGGGAAGCCAGTACATACTTTCAGTGAGTCTGCACCAGATGTTGCAATTTTGTATTTGTTTCACAAGCACTGTCAAGAAGGCTGGGCACGGACTAAGAAAATGAGGACAAAATGAGAATCCCAACCAAATGCAATGTCTTTAAAACTTGCACATTTTTTTTTCCTCAAAAGAAAAATGAAATGATCAGATTTCCAAGATAGCCTCAGGTTGCATCCTCAGTTTGAAGATGCTTTGGAAAATGAAGTGAGCTCCCATTATTGCAATGTGGCACATTGCTTCTTATTCATCAAACACTTGCAACAACGAGACGAGAAAACACATTTCAAATAATCTACAAATACATTTTCGCGGACATTTATAGGTATGAGAGGTAATAGGAAGATAGGGGGTGGACAAGGAGGAAACATAAGGTAAGGATCAACTATTCCTATAGATTCTAACGTTTCGCTGGTCCCCTCAGATCAAACCCTCCATCCTAACAATTCTGTATTGTGTCATTTAAAACAACCTACTTTTTGACACTCTTCTAACCATGATCTTTCTATGAGGGGGACGGAAATACTTCTCAATGTGGAGTTATGTCAGTTTTATGGTCAGCAAAACATATAAATAGAACCAATTGTTCCTCCACTTGGCAAAGATGTTTATATTTGAAATTAATTCCAGGCCACAGAAATAGAACATTTCCTTTCATTTAAGAGAACTACCTTCTATGAATCACTTATAAGAAGTTAAAATCAGCTTCCAAGAGAAAGGGTTTTCAGTTGAATAAAATTTCTAGGGTGTCTATTTTTTAAAATGTAAATTTAGGGTGTAGGATCTCCCTACTATCTCAATCCCATTTCTATGTTCCTCTTGAGTCAGAAGCAACTCCGGCTGATCTCTATGTAAATTGAATCTCTTTGCCTTTCATCTTACTTCAGTGTAAAATATCTGGTTGTATGGACAAATGTGACACCCCCCTCCCCACCTCCGAGCAGCCCCAGAACTTGTTGTAAGGGCTCAGGAAAAGTATGCCATGCTGCCAAAGATTTTGGAATTTTGGAATTTCCAAGTCCTGGTGGCTACTTTTCTAGCCATATGCCCTTTGGTGTGTCAACTTCTGGAAATGGGGATAGCATTGCTTCACCTGCCGAAGGCAGGGAGTAAACAAAAGGAGTTTGTAGAAGGTTTGGGGATTCCGAGGAAGGAATATGAACTGGGAAGAACTCTGGCGGTTAAGACGAACCAAACCATACACTCCACTTAATTTAGTCTGTAGGTATTAAAAGATGATTTGCCTTTTTATGCTTACAGATGCAAAAATGGGGCACCACTGAAAGTTTTGAGGAAAACTCCTCTGAAATTCTAAAAATGGAGATGTCATTTATGAAAATCAGGCTGGGTCAGTATGAAAGAAATATATCCACATGTGTCTCTTTGTGGGTTCATGATACTCTTTCGGGATACTGTTGAAGTAAGACACTTAATTGTAACAGTGTAGTGCTTTGCATAAAGGAACTCGCCAGACTGTTATGTGTATGAGGTGAGCCATGGAGACTAACCTAGAGAGTTGTAGGAAAGAAAAAAAGCACAGATTCTCCCCACAAGGCAACACCATCTAGAAGAGCTATGGGTGCAAAGCCAGAAAGCCCAGGTTATAGTCCTGCCTGAATGCCAATTATAACCACGGGTAAGTCACCGGAATATTTTTTGGTCAGAATTTTCTTCTGTATGGTGACAAAATTGGCTCAGACAAATCCCAATGCATCATTCTGTAGTAGTTGGTCTCTTCTCTTTTTTTTCTTACAAGTCCCCCCTCCTCCCCTTTCCTTGCACACCCCCACTGGACTAGAGATCGTCTCAAAAAGACAGCAACTAGTTCCCTTAGCACTGTTTCCCTGAGCAGGTAACTACTATCGATGACAAGTAAAGCAAACCACTCCCATAGCTGTGATTTATCGGTTTTAGATCACAACTGGTAGAAGTATACAAATAATGAACTCTCTCTAAAGCTAAGTAAGTTACTACCTTCCCATTAAGGCCACACATGCCAGTGGGTCCACCAATTCACATTTAAAAGTGGCAGACAGGAAAAAAGAAAGAGGATGAAGGAAGGACAGAGGAAAGGAAAAAGTAGGAGATTATGAAAAAAAGGGGGAGACAGGGAATGAGAGCAGAGATCTTCTTATCAAAACTCAAAGTTTGCCAAATGCTCTATAACCAACTCATTCTTATAAAAAGCCCAGGAGGCTTCCTTTCGAAATAGATGCATGAAGACTTACGTGGAGAAATTGGACTCAGTTCCTTAATGCTTGGACCTGTTTCTGGAAAAAAAAAAATGATGATGCATTCCACAGAGAAACCAAGTTTTAAGCAAAAGTTCATCACAATCTCAGCAGAGATTGACACTTTCCTATTGGTTAATACTCTGTGAGATCTTTGTCAGTTATCCTCTTCAGATGTCGAAACTGTAACATGGGCTACTCAGAAATGTTAAGCATTGTACTTTGTCAACAATCAATTGTACAGGCTCTCCAATCTGAAGAAAACTTGAAGGCAAACTTAAGGAATTTGAGTCTGACAGCATGTATGTGTGTGTGTACACCTTTATATTTATTTACAAGAGGATTCAATACCTTTAAATACCATATTTCTCCAGTGTATTCATGATGTTTTTCCACTTTCAAAAAATTCTTTTAATGTACACAAGTTTTGTGGGGTGCCTGAGTGGCTCAGTGGGTTAAGCATCTGACTCTTGGTTTCGGCTCAGATCATCTCAGGGTTGTGAGATCGAGCCCTGCATGAGGCTCCATGCTCAACTCAGCAGAGTCTGCTTGGATTCTCTCTCCCTCTGCCTCTTCCTCTCTCTCTCTCTCTCACTCAAATAAATAAGTAAGTAAATAAATAAATAAATAAGATCTTTGAAAAAATGTACATAAGTTTTGTAAAAGCGTCCTTATTCTTCTTTCCTTAATGCTATTATCCTATAGTTCAACTCCTTTTTTAAAAAATAAGAATTTAGGGGTGCCTGGGTGGCCCAGATGGCTAAGCATCTGCTTTTGGCTCAGGTCATGATCTTGGTCCTGGGATCAACTCCCATGTCTGGCTCCCTGCTCAGCAGGGAGTCTGCTTCTCCCTCTTCCTCTGCCTCTCCCCCTGCTCACGCTCTCTCTCTCTATCTCTCTGTCTCAAATGAATAAAAAATTCTTTAAAAAAACCCAAGAATTAATTAATTAATTAATTAATTAATTAATTAATTAATTTGAGTGAGCGATAGAGTACGCGCCCACACACAGGGGGAGGGGCAGAGGGGGAAGGAGAGGGACAAGCAGACTCTGTGCTGAGTGGAGCCTGACGGGCAATCTCACAATCATGACCTGAGCCGAAACTAAGAGTTGGATGCAACTGAGCCACCCAGGTGCCACTCAGCATCTTTTCATCATACATCTGCATTATTACAGAGCTTTCCTAACTGGTCTCCTTGTTTCCACCCACTGCCCCTGCTCCTGCCCCAAATATTTCCTCCTCCATATTTTCCCCTCGGAGTGAATTTTCCAGAGCCCAGAGTTGATTATGTTATTGACCTGATTAAATTGCTCCATGACTTCCTGCACTCGTAGGAAAAAAATCTAAACTCCAGCCTGGCACACAAAAGTTCTGCCTTCCTTCTCTACCAACCTTTTGCTAGCCTCCTTTCCTAATGGGCCCTTCACCCATGCTGGGCTCCTCATACTTACTTAAGCTCCCCAAATTCTCTATGCTGCTCTGATCATCATACTTTTGCAAGCCATCCCCTGAAATACCCTCCTCCCTCAGACCTGCTTTGTTGGTATGTTCACTGGGAGGCTTTCTCTGACTCTCCCTCCAACCTCCACCCCAGCAGGGCCAGTCTCTACCCATGTAGCTTATTCCACCCCCCGGTTGTCCTACATATACTCCATCACATCATAATTCTCTAGATTCTTTTCTGCCTGGAGGGCAGGGTCTACTTCTTACTCATCTGGACATCCCAGGGCTCAGCCTAGCATGGAACAGGCCTGCCAGAAATCAGTGAAGGATGACTAGAATGTTGACAATGGAGACAACAGAGGGAGCTGGGAACAAGGCTATACAGCAGTGCTTGTATGCTTTGACATTTCTATAATGCTTTCGTGTTCAAATCTCATTTGAGTTTCACACCAGCCCTGTGAGAGAGGCAGAAAAAGAATTCTTATCACTATTTTACAAACGAGCATCCTGAGACTCTGCTATCATGTGACTTGCCCAAGGTCACAGCTGGAAAGCATCAGGGCAGCGGCTGAACCCAAATTCCAGATTCTGCTTCAGAGGCTACATGACTGGGGAGTGTTGCTCTGTCCTTAGCAGGGAGCACTGATTAAGAAGCTACTTGTGACTCAGAGTGAGAACAGCACAAACTGGGGGGGGCGGGGGGGGGGGGCGGTGGAGTGGCTGTATCATGGCCCAACACTTATTTTTGTATGGCTTGTGAACTAAGAGTACATTCTGTATTTCTAAGTGACTGGAAAAAAAACCCCCAAAGAATAAAATTTTATGACCTATGAAAAGTATGTGAAAGTCAAACCTATTCCATAAATAAATTCCATAAATAAAGTTTTCTTTGAACATAACCACACACATCATTTGTATATTGTCCATGCCTACAATGCTGTAGGAGCAGCCCAGAATCGTCAGGGCAGGCACTGTGCGAGGAACAGACCTGAAACGCTCACCAGCTGGCCCTTCCCAGAAAAAGGGTGCTGCGTCCTGGGACACACTCCGCCCCTGCCCTTTCGAGTGGCAAGTGGTGAGTGTTTAGTGCGTCTCTTTTCGTCTCCATTTTCATTCAGTGAAGAAGGAACACATACCTTGTGTTGGAATCCACAGTGGAGCAAAGGAAATTGTGAAAAACTGACCAAACCAGCAGCATTTGAGGTCATGTTTATAAAAATAAAGAAGCTACATAGGATTGTAAATTCTCAGGATTAACCACCTCAGCTGGGCTGCCTACATTCCTGCAGCATGGGGTGCTTGGGTCCAGCTCTAGGGGAAGGAATGCTACGGGATGAAGCAAAGCCACCACAATGGAATGGTGCCCCCCAGAGTTGTGCAATGTGGTGGCGCAGGTTGTACTTAAAATTACTAAAAATAACTGTGAAAGCTTTTAAGAAAATCTTTTTTTTTAAGAAAATATATTTCAGTATGCACAACACTCACCAACTACAAAATAACACAAGAGACTGTCTCCAGTGGGTTTGGTCCCATCAGCCTAGTGGCAGAGATAAAATAATGATGGTGATGCCTTCCATTTATACATGTGTGTAGTGTTTTACAACTGACAAAAAGCCTTCGCTTAGATTTTCTCATTTTAAACTCTCGAGAACCCTATGAAGTAGGGGTATCTAACCACAAAATTCTACTTCCAAGAAGCAGTGGTTGGATTCACTGAACTAAGTCCAAAGGCATTTAAAGGTCTCTATAGTGTTCACCATGTGAGAAATATACACACTTCTGGGAAGAGTTCCATCCAATCAACCACCCATGGCTGAACTTTGTCACTCAGAATCCCTAAGTGGTTTTAAATAATGACTCTCCCTTAAGGAGACCTCACATGTGAGAATGTGGGTTTTAGAGCAAGGCCTCTGTGATGGATGGCATTGTTTTAAAATTCTTAATGGATCTATGCTATGATCTAATCCTTCTCCCCCACCCCAAATAGGGGACTTCTCTCAGCGCTAAATAGAAACAGTTGTTGCTTATTTCCCCTGGGTGAAGTTCCTCCATAAACAATAACAAGTACAAGCTGCAGCACTAAGGTTATAGGATTTTATCCTCTTTTTTGTTCCAAAAATTCCCAATAACCCCTGTGTATGACTAAAGGAGTCTGATCTCCACCGGAACCCTATAATCGAGCTGGCATGCTGAAAGGAAAACGGGAACACAGCAATATTTACTTTTGGTTTAAGGGTAAAATTGTTAAGAAAGGAACCCTTGCTATTGTTGCAAAGAGAATGTTAACAATAGAGATTTATTTGCAGAAAGAACAAACTATAATCGACATTCTGAATTAAATCTCTTCATATACTCGTGAGCAAATTTCGGTGTGCCTCTAGAACCAGATTTCCCTCCTCAGATGGTTAGGCATGGTTTTCATAGATGGGATATTTCTGGGGTTATGCGTGAGTAACTGACCACAGCGTTCAGCTTCCAGCTTTCAATTCAGTTCTCCTAAACATGGTAGTAGCATCGAGCAGGCCCGCAGGGAAACAAGGTGCCTACTCGGTACCCACATCTATTGGTGTTTGGCAAAGAGGGAGAGATAGGGAGATGAAGAGAGGCCTCTATGCAGATCTCTTTTAACATACAGTTTTTATTAACTTCACTATAAACAATCTCCTTCTCTGGGTTCTTTCAATATTTATGGCATTCACTGCAATTGCCTGGTCACTTATCTGCACCCTTCCACTTGATCAGTGGTTCTTATCTAGGGTGATTTCTGCCCCCACCCCGCACCCCACCAGGACATTTGGAAATGTCTGGAGATATTTGGGGTTGTCACAATGGGTAGTGGAGGGGTTGGCTATGGGCATCTAGTGGGTAGAGGCCAAGGATGCTATTCAAAATCCTACAATGCACAGGACAGCCCTCTACAACAAAGAGTTATCCAGCTCAAAAGCATCAACAGAGTCAAGGTTATGAACCCCTGTATGACACTGTAAAGGCCTTACAGACAGGGTAATGTGTTTACTGTATGCCTGGCATATAATAGGTACCAATAAACATTTTTTGGAATAGCCGTAATTGTCATCTATATCTTATTACTGTGTACATCTCCCCAAAACCAAACTTCATGCTGCTTTCGGGGTAGTCTTCCTAAATGATCTGATCATTGGTTCCTTACCCAAGAGCTTTTTTTTTTTTTAAGATTTTATTTTTTCTAAGTAATCTCCGCACCCAACATGGGGCTCAAACCCACAACCCTGAGATCAAGAGTTGCATGCTCCACCAACTGAGCCAGCCAGGCACCCCAATCTTTTGGTGGTTCTTAACTTTTAGAGGTGCATACTGGAATATTTATGGATGAGATGAAATGTCTGGATTTCCTTCAAAACAATCTAGGGACAGAAAGTGATAAAACAAGTTTGTCCATAAATGGGTAGTTGTTGAAACCAGAAGGAGGATTCACGGGACTTCATTCTACTATTCTATTTTTGTATATAGTTGAGATATATATATATATTCCAAAGTACAAAGTCCCTATGATACCCCTCTCCCTTGGATGAAGACTGAATGACTTAGTCTGTCCATTAGGCATTTCTACCATCTT